CGGGGATTCGAACCCGCGACCCTCATATTGCGAGTCGAGCGCCCTAACCACCTGGCCATGCCGGGCCTTGAACCGATAGACTACAGGGAATGCAGATAGTCAACATCCAGCAAGCTAGGAATACTGTGACGAAGGTAAAAGTTTTATATCTTTAGCAAACCTTTAACTCTGTCCTAGACGACCCAATGGCTTAGCGATAAGTTTGAGGGCCTGTGATATTAAAATTCGGGGTTTGATCCCTGTAGTAAGTATAGACTTGCTCTTAAAAATAAAGCTTTTGGTGGTGGTTATAGCAGCAGATCACAATGAAACCCTCCAAACTGTCTCACGTAAAACATTATCAGGCCTACGTTAGGTTAAAATATCGGACTGTTTCTTCACTTCGCATAGGTCCTAGTGACGTAAACACTTGTGACGCTATCCTTTTGTCTTGAGAGTATTACGACTTTTCTTTTACAATACACTGCATAGAACAAATAATAGCTTATTGATTCCACTAACAGATAATGGAAAGTTATAGCTACGACAAGGTAAATACAGTGTGATTTTAAATACAAATTAAGGTTCTGATAATTAGCCCTAGTGAATCACTACCTAGAAAAACGTGACATGTGACTGTCCTTTTAAAATAGACATCCTTGCTACAGCTAATGGTTTTCTTGACTGTAAATAAACATAAGCGTTTGTTATATAAACCACAAGTTAATCGTGACACAAGATGGACGTTATGGTCGTAGATCTCTCCCCCCTCCCACCTTTAGTTAACTTAATTTTTATTTTCTTAATTCTAGTTTCTTTGTTTTTTACATTTGTTTATTATAGTTCAGTATCTCCTCTTTTTTTTACGTCAATATTCAAATGATTTTAACTACAGTTTCAGGCTGCACACCTACATTCGTGCCGTTAGGAATTGTCTTTGTTTTAATGTAAATAATATTATCTTCATTGGTCTATACAACAAATTTAAAAGTGTATAAGTCTGTTAGTCATTGTAAGTCTAGCAATGCGGTCTGTGTTGGATGTAGGATATGTAATGTTAGTATTCTTGACGGACCTAAGAGTGGTGTGTGTGTGTATATAGCACCTCGTATAGCTTTAATTGTTTGTTTGTTGTTAAACACAGAGCTACACGATGGACTATCTGTG